TNCNNNTGCNGCNGCNNNNGNTGNTGNTGCTGCTGTTGNTGTTGNTGNTGCTGTTGCTGTTGCTGTTGCTGNTGNTGNTGNTGNTGNTGCTGTTGCTGTTGCTGTTGTTGCGGCTGCTGTTGCGACTGTTGCTGTGGCTGGACACGTTGGGGTGGAGCGGGCGGAGACTGCTGTGGTGGTATTGAAGGTACAGACGCAAGACTAGTCTCCTGTAGGGCAGGGAATCCCGAATTGGGTACCAGTGGCTTGCTCTGCATGGGCCCTTGAGCAATACTGGGAAACCTCGAAGAGGGATTAGGATGCGGCGGGGATGCCTTGGGTAGCGCAAGCGCGTTTGGAGGCGGAGAAGCGTGTTCAGGCGTAGGCGCAATGGGACGGATCGGTGCCGCCTGTGTACTCTCATATCGTCTCTTGGGTGCCGGAGTTGGCGTAGGTGGTGGTCCAAGATCTTCGCCGCGATCCCTTCGTGCATCTGCCTCTTTTGCGACTTGTTCCAAGTCTAGTTTGCCACTTTCAACAAGGCGGAGGTATTGGTTCTTTATCATAGTGTGCGTCTTGGTGCCCATATGGTTCGCGATTGCAACCCAGTCCGTGCCAAAGTGCGCAACGTTCTTGTCGAAGTCCTGTAACTCGGAAACTGACCAATAGCTTGATGGCCCAGGTCTCGCACCAGGCTGAGTCTTGGGACGCTCCATAAGGCCGCCCGGCATACCAGGAAGTTGCTGCAAATCACTGGACATTACTACCTGCTCCTCCATGGGTACAACGTGCATGGGCACCGGCATCTCATCCAATGGTCCTTTACTCGCATCATCCTCCATCTTGACGCCGAAAGCCTTTTCTTTCCGATCGGGTTTGACAACAGAGCCCACAGGGGCCGCAGCGAGTGGCACGTTCTTCGGCTTGCGACCAAGCTTTTCCTTTGAGGGCTTTCCTCGCCTTCCAGCCTTCTCTTGCGAGCCATCAGTATCAGTCTGTCTACGTGCACGAGCTGGAGTGACGTTTCCGGAAGTTGGATCGAAGTCTGTCTCCGTGGGACCGAATGTTGGTGCAGCTGAGCGTCTGGGCCGTCCAGTTTCAGTGACAGGTAAGGGTTGTCCGTCCTCGCCTTGCACTTCAGTTCGATCCATGTTGGCAATAGCACTACGGCCCCGACTGACGCCTCCACCACGTTTCCTAGAAACACGCGGTTTCCGCAGTTTGCCTTTGTACTCTCTGCCCCACTTGGTCGCATAGTAGTGATTGATACAGTCTTTGTAGGTCCGCTCAGTTCCAACTTCCTTGTACAAGACCTCAGCCAACTTGCCCCATTTCTTGGCATATTGGTCCTTGTAGTTGTACACCATGACCCGATGCTCTTCAGGCGTGAAATCATCCTCTGGTGGCTCGTAGTGGAACACAAAG